AGGACAATGGGTAACGTGAAGAAGTGCTTGAACAAAGCTGTAAAGACGAATAGTGTAAATGTTTAAGAGGGGCTCTAGAATCAGGACCTGGTTGGGCTACAAGAGCAAAGGCCACTATTAGACACTTTATGAATGGTGCAACGACCGTAAGTTGAGAAGGTGAAGTTTGCATTTGAATTTAAGGTTAGTAAGGGGCTAACGGGGACTAAGGTAGGTAAGGGTGGGTGAAAAGGTTAGGACAATTAAAATACTTTCTATCGTGGAGGAAGGGTTTTGAAAGCAAGGCAAGAAGGGTGCTGAAGAGGAAGGGCCCTGTCCAAGAGGTAAGGGGCTAAGTGAAGAAGGCGTAAGAGGAACGGCCTCGCCATGGAGGAAGTGCGTAAAAGAAAGGGGCGAAGAGGACGGACCGTAATGTAAGAGGAAGGGGCGTCTGTAAATGGTAGAAAGAAGGGGCTTGAGAGGAAGGGCGTTGAGGCGGGGCTCTAAGCAAAGCTTTAATGCGTAGAAGGGGGCGTAGAGTAGAAGTTGACTTGCGTTCGTTCAAGATCGGGAGGAAAGGGGTAAAAGTAAGCAACGCGTTAAAAGGGGGGCTGTAGAAGAATGGGTTACTGGGGAATTTGAAGAGGAAGGGGAGTGAAGAGGAAGGGGGCGTGGGGGGTTGAAGAGGAAGGGGGGCTTTGAAGAGAAGGGGGCGTATGAAGAGGAAGGGGCGTTTGAAGAGGAAGGGGCGTTAGAAGAGGAAGGGGGCGAGAAGATGCTCAAGAGGAAGGGGGCTTGAAGTTAGAGGAGGGACGGCTATAGAAGAGGAAGGGGGCGTTTAGAAGAGGAAGGGGGCGTTAAAGAGGTAAAGGGAGTAAGAAGAGAAGGGGGCGTAAAGAGGAAGGGGGCGGTTTGAAGAGAAGGGTTGAAGAGGAAGGGGGTGGCGTTGAAGAGGAAGGGGGTGGTGAAGAGGAAGGGGCGTTGAAGAGGAAGGGGGGCGTAGAAGAGGAAGGAGGCGTTGAAGAGGGAAGGGGGGCGTTTAGAAGAGGAAGGGGGCGTAGAAGAGGAAGGGGGCGTTGAAGAGGAAGGGGACGTTGAAGAGGAAGGGGGCGTAGAAGAGGAAGGGGGCGTAGAAGAGGAAGGGGGCGTAGAAGAGGAAGGGGCGTATGAAGAGGAAGGGGGCGTAGAAGAGGAAGGGGGCAGAGAGGAAGGGGCGTTGAAGAGGAAGGGGGCGTAGAAGAGGAAGGGGCGGGTGTTGAAGAGGAAGGGGCGGTTGAAGGGAAGGGGGCGTAGAAGTAGGAAGAGGAAGGGAATGGGGCGTAGAAGGGGAAAGGAGGGGGCGTTGAAGAGGAAGGGGGCGTTGAAGAGGAAGGGGGCTTTTGAAGAGGAAGGGGGCGTTTGAAGAAAGAGGACGGAAAGGGGGCGTTAGAAGAGGAAGGGGGCGTAGAAGAGGAAGGAGGCGTTTAGAGAGAAGGGATTGAAGAGGAAGGGGGCGTAGAGGAAGGGGCGTTGAAGAGGAAGGGGGCGTTGAAGAGGAAGGGGGCGTAAAGGAAGGGTGAAGAGGAAGGGGGGGGAGGCTTGAAGAGGAAGGGGGGGCGTGGGGGTGTGAAAGAGGGCGAGAGGAAGGGGGCGTGAAAAGAAGGAGGAAGGGGTGCGTTGAAAGAGGAAGGGGGCGTGAAGAGGAAGGGGCTGAAGAGAAGGGGCGTATGAAGAGGAAGGGGGCGGTTTGAAGAGGAAGGAGAAGTTGGAAGAGGAAGGGGCGTTAGAAGAGGAAGGGGCGTGGAGGGGGGGCGTGAAGAGGAAGGGGGCGTTGAAGAGGAAGGGACGTTGAAGAGGAAGGGGGCGTTGAAGAGGAAGGGGGCGTGAAGAGGAAGGGGGCGTTAAAGAATGGGGCGTTGAAGAGGAAGGGGGCGTTGAAGAGGAAGGGGTGGGGGCTGTTGAAGAGGAAGGGGCGTAAAGAGGAAGGGGGCGTAAAGAGGAGGGGCGTAGAAGGACGGGGTTGCGTTGAAGAGGAAGGGGGCGTTAGGAAGAGGAAGGGGGCGTTAAGAGGAAGGGGGCGTTGAAGAGGAAGGGGGCATTGAAGAGGAAGGGGCGTTGAAAGAGGAAGGGGGCGTTGAAGAAAGGAAGGGGGCGTTAATGAGGAAGGGCGTAGAAGAGGAAGGGGGCGTGAAGAGGAGGGGGCGTATGAAGAGGAAGGGGGCGTTTTGAAGAGGAAGGGGCGTTGAAGGGAAGGGGGGGTACGTGAAGAGGAAGGGACGTGTTGAAGAGGAAGGGGGCGTTGAAGAGGAAGGGGGCGTAGAAGAGGAAGGGGGGTGCGTGTAAGAGGAAGGGGGCGTAGAAGAGGGAAGGGGGGTGAAGAGGAAGGGGGCGTTGAAGAGAAGGGGGCTTTTGAGAAGGAGGAAGAGGGCGTTGAAAGAGGAAGGGGGCGTGTGAAGAGGAAGGGGGCGTGAAGAGGAAGGGGGCTTTGAAAGAGGAAGGGGGTGTTGAAGAGGAAGGGGGCGTTTGAAGAGGAAGGGGCGTGTGAAGAGGAAGGGGGGCGTTGAAGAGAGGACAAGGGGGAGTCGTAGAAGAGGACGAGAGAAGGGGTGGGCGTTGAAGAGGAAGGGGGTGTGGATAGAAGAGAAGGGGAGGGCGTTGAAGAGGAAGGGGGGGCCGTAGAAGAGGGGAAGGGGGTTGAAAGAGGAAGGGGGCGTAGAAGAGGAAGGGGCGTGGGCGGCGTTGAAGAGGAAGGGGGGTTGTTGTTGAAGAGGAAGGGGGCGTAGAAGGAGGAAGGGGGTGTGAAGAGGAAGGGGGTGGCGTTGAAGAGGAAGGGGGCGTAGAAGAGGAAGGGGGGTTTGAAGAGATAGGGGGGCGTTGAAGAGAAGGGGGCGTAAAGAGGAAGGGGGCGTAGAGGAAGATAGAAGGAGGGCGTTAGAATAGGAAGGGCGTTGAAGAGGAAGGGGGCGTTGAAGAGGAAGGGGGTGTTAAGAGGAAGGGGGCGTTGAAGAGGAAGGGGGTGTTGAAGAGGAAGGGGACGTTTGAAGGAGGAAGGGGGCGTGTAGAAGAGGAAGGGGGGTAGTAGAGAAGAGGAAGGGGGCGTAGAAGAGGAAAGGGGGTGTTGAAGAGGAAGGGGGGAATTGAAGAGGAAGGGGCGTTGAAGAGGAAGGGGGCGTTAGAAGAGGAAGGGGGCTTTTGAAGAAGGGAAGGGGGCGTGAAGAGGAAGGGGTGTTGAGAGAGGAAGGGGGCGTTGAAGAGGAAGGGGGCATTGAAGAGGAAGGGGGGCGTTGAAGGGGAAAAGGGGGCGTAGAAAGAGGAAGGGGGCGTTAGATAGAGGGAAGGGGGCGTAGAAGAGGAAGGGGGCGTAGAAGAGGAAGGGGGGTTTGAAGAGGAAGGGGGCGTAGAAGGGAAGAGGGGGCGTTGAAGAGGAAGGGGGGCGTTGAGAGGAAGGGGGGCGTTGAAGAGGAAGGGGGCGTAGAAGAGGAAGGGGGTGTTGAAGAGGAAGGGGGCGTTGAAGAGGAAGGGGGCGTTGAAGAGGAAGGGGGCGTTGAAGAGGAAGGGGGCGTTGAAGAGGAAGGGGGCGTTGAAGAGGAAGGGGGCGTTGAAGAGGAAGGGGGCGTTGAAGAGGAAGGGGGGTGAGGTGTTTGAAGAGGAAGGGGGCGTTGAAGAGGAAGGGGCGTTTGAAGAGGAAGGGGGTGTTGAAGAGGGAAGGGGGTTGAAGAGGAAGGGGGCGTTGAAGAGGAAGGGGGCATAGAAGAGGAAGGGGGCGTAGAAGAGGAAGGGGGCGTTGAAAAGGATGACTCATTTTATTTTGTGGCTGGCAGTTGGCATGGACCAACTTGTTGTGTAGATTGCGACCTCTTCTGTATACAATGAGTGGTGGGTTCTTAAATTCTGCTGGCAGAGTAAGGTCCGATGACATAATATGCCAGTGGTTTTTAATAGCAGCGTTGAGCGAGTTCAGGGTGTTCTTTAGCTTTAGGGGGTATTTTTGGGGGGTCATACCAAGGATCATTTTGCTATTTGATTTTTTGATTTTTTGAAATATTTTTTTTAAATGAAAAAATTTATTTGGCCTTACTGCTATTAGCCCATACAAACGCATTGAATAACAGATTCATTACATGGAACAACAGATAGTCCCCCCCGAAAAAAATCGAAAGGAAGTTTGTTCTGAAGTGTCTGTTCTATATCTGAACGATATGAGAAAGATCAGGAAACATTTGCTTGTTTTTTTATTTTTTATTTAACCCCTTATTATTTTTGGCACTAAACAGTCTCCATACACTGTACTTCCATTCATTCTTGTGAGGCCTGTGGGCGTCCTGGAGCAAAAACAACATGTACGTGTTCGTCTCACCTTTCCACAGAGGGGTCATATAAGTGTGTAGCCCAAACCGTTCGGACGCTACAGACAGAAGTTGGCAGATCGGCTGTACCGACTTCAGACGAGTCCCAAGATGCTTGTGGGGGTCTCTACAGACGATTTTGTGATAAGACCGATTTTCGGGATTACATTTACATTTTAGTCATTTAGCAGACGCTCTTATCCAGAGCGACTTACATGAGCAATTAGGGTTAAGTGCCTTGCTTAAGGGCACATCGACAGATTTTTCACCTAGTCGGCTCGGGGATTAGAACCAGCGACCTTTCGGTTACTGGCACAACGCTCTTACCCACTAAGCTACCTGCCGCCCTATGCGATGTCTCATGGTCTGACAAACCCTGCTCTGGCTCTGTCACCTTTCACCCCAGATGGGGGCGGAAGTGCGACATCGGGAAAAAAAACATAGTTTAAACTGACAGATTTTTATGGGGATTTTTTTAATGACGCTAATTCGATCTGACAGCGCTTCTCTCGTTCCTCCTCATAGACAAAAAACGACGTCAATATATCGATAACACTTTAAGATCCTATTCAAAAATATTTTTTTTCATTTTCATTGTTAACAAAACAGATTGTTATCAAAAAGGCTGATCCCAGATCATGCCTCCTACTCTGGGGTGCTTTGTGAATATGTGCCCTGACCTGTGTTGTGTCCCAGGCGGAGATCGAGTCTCGCGTGGAGTTGGAGCGGAGGCTGAAGCAGGCAGAGGAGGCTCTACAGAACCTGGAGAAAGGTCTGAGCTCTCTGGAACGCTCCAAGGAGAAGGACGACAAGATGAAGGGAGACGTCAACAACCTCAGGAGTGAGCTACACTAACTGCACACACACACACACACGCACACACACACACACACACACGCACGCACGCACGCACACACACACGCACGCATACACGTACGTACGTACATACATACACACACATACACACAAACAAACACACACACACAGACATTCTTCATGAGTCATAGAGAAACACACTGCCATAAACACTTCTACCCACAGTTTCAGTTAACCCAGAATAATTCATAAAAGGATCAGTTGACCCAGAATAATTCATAAAGGGGATCAGTTAACCCAGAATAATTCATAAAAGGGTTCAATTAACCCAGAATAATTCATAAAGCGGATCAGTTAACCCAGAATAATTCATAAAGGGGTTCAGTTAACCCAGAATAATTCATAAAGCGGATCAGTTAACCCAGAATAATTCATAAAGCGGATCAGTTAACCCAGAATAATTCATAAAGGGGTTCAGTTAACCCAGAATAATTCATAAAGGGGTTCAGTTAACCCAGAATAATTTATAAAGGGTTCAGTTAACCCAGAATAATTCATAAAGGGGTTCAGTTAACCCAGAATAATGAATAAAGGGGTTCAGTTAACCCAGAATAATTCATAAAGGGGTTCAGTTAACCCAGAATAATTCATAAAGGGGTTCAGTTAACCCAGAATAATTAATAAAGGGGTTCAGTTAACCCAGAATAATTCATAAAGGGGTTCAGTTAACCCAGAATAATTAATAAAGGGGTTCAGTTAACCCAGAATAATTAATAAAGGGGTTCAGTTAACCCAGAATAATTAATAAAGGGGTTCAGTTAACCCAGAATAATTTATAAAGGGTTCAGTTAACCCAGAATAATTCATAAAGGGGTTCAGTTAACCCAGAATAATTAATAAAGGGGTTCAGTTAACCCAGAATAATTAATAAAGGGGTTCAGTTAACCCAGAATAATTCATAAAGGGGTTCAGTTAACCCAGAATAAGTAATAAAGGGGTTCAGTTAACCCAGAATAAGTAATAAAGGGGTTCAGTTAACCCAGAATAAGTAATAAAGGGGTTCAGTTAACCCAGAATAATTCAGTGTGAGTTGTTTTCCTTCCTCCTGGATAGAACATGTACAAGTTATAGCTACAGTAAATTATTTCAACTACTGAGTGCTGCAAGGAACAGAACTATGATCTAACTGTGAAATAAACTACGCTGAACAAAAACGCAACATGGAACAATTTCAAAGATTTTACTGAGTTACAGTTCATATAAAGAAATCAATCAATTGAAATAAATTCATTAGCCCCTAATCTATGGATTTCACATGACTGGGAATACAGATGTCTGCTGGTCACAGATACCTTAAAAAAAAGGTAGGGGCGTGGATCAGAAAACCAGTCAGTATCTGGTGTGACCACCATTTGCATCATGCAGCGCAACACATCTCCTTCACATTGAGTTGATCAGGCTGTTGATTGTGGCCTGTGGAATGTTGTCCCACTCCTCTTCAATGGCTGTGCAAAGTTTCTGGATATTGGTGGGAACTGGAACACTCAGTCAATACACGTCGATCCAGAGCATCCTAAACATGCTCAGTGGGTGACATGTCTGGTGAGTATGCAGGCCATGGAAGAACTGGGACATTTTCAGCTTCCAGGAATTGTGTACAGATCCTTGCGACATGGGGCCGTGCATTATCATGCTGAAACATGAGGTGATGGCGGCGGATGAATGGCACGACAATGGGCCTCAGGATCTCGTCACAGTACCTCTGTGCATTCAAATGGCCATCGATAAAATGCAATTGTGTTCGTTGTCCGTAGCTTATGCCTGCCCATACCATAACCCTACCGCCACCATCGAGCACTCTGTTCACAACGTTGACATCAGCAAACCGCTCACCCACACGACTCCATACACGCTGTCAGCCATCTGCCCGGTACAGTTGAAACCGGGATTCATCCGTGCCAGTGGCCATCGAAGGTGAACATTTTCCCACTGAAGTCAGTTACGACGCCAAACTGCTGTCAGGTCAAGACCCTGGTGAGGACGATGAGCACGCAGATGAGCTTCCCTGAGACGGTTTCTGACAGTTTATGCGGAAATTCTTCGGTTGTGCAAACCCACAGTTTCATCAGCTGTCCGGGTGGCTGGTCCCGCAGGTGAAGAAGCCAGGTGTGGAGGTCCTGGGCTGGCGTGGTTACACATGGTCTGCGGTTATGAGGCCGGTTGGACGTACTGCCAAATTCTCTAAAACGACGTTTGAGGCAGCTTATGGTAGAGATATTAACATTAAATTCTCTGAAAACAGCTCTGGTGGACATTCCTGCAGCCAGCATGCCACAGATTGGCATTGTGTTGTGTGATAAAACAGCACATTTTAGAGTGGCCTTTTATTGTCCCCAGCATAAGGTGCACCTGTGTAATGATCATGCTGTTTAATCAGCTTCTTGATAAAAAAAAACAACAACATTGTAAAGTGGTTATCCCACTGGCTATAAGGTGAATGCACCAATTTGTAAGTCACTCTGGATAAGAGAGTCTGCTAAATGACGTAAATGTAAATGTAAATGTAATGCCACACCTGTCAGGTGGATTGATTATCTTGGCAAATGAGAAATGCTCACTAACAGGGATGTAAACAAATTTGTGCACAACATTTGAGAAAAATAAGCTTTTTTGTGCGTATGGAACATTTCTGGCATCTTTTATTTCAGCTCATGTAACATGGGACCAACACTTTACATGTTGCGTTTATATTTTTTGTTCAGTAATAGCTACATGTGATGTGTGTTCTTCACCCAGAGTTCTTTGAGGAGTGTATCTGTGCTGCAGAGATCGAGGCCAAGCTCCCTTCTATTATGAAGAATGCTGTGTATCTTCACAAGGCTGCAGCACGACGCATTAAGAGCTGCCGGATACAGAGACGGGCCTCCAAACACCACTGGTGTAAGTACACAGGGCCTCCAAACACCACTGGTGTAAGTACACAGGGCCTCCAAACACCACTGGTGTAAGTACACAGGGCCTCCAAACACCACTGGTGTAAGTACACAGGGCCTCCAAACACCACTGGTGTAAGGACACAGGGCCTCCAAACACCACTGGTGTAAGGACACAGGGCCTCCAAACACCACTGGTGTAAGTACACAGGGCCTCCAAACACCACTGGTATAAGTACACAGGGCCTCCAAACACCACTGGTGTAAGGACACAGGGCCTCCAAACACCACTGGTGTAAGTACACAGGGCCTCCAAACACCACTGGTGTAAGTACACAGGGCCTCCAAACACCACTGGTGTAAGTACACAGGGCCTCCAAACACCACTGGTGTAAGTACACAGGGCCTCCAAACACCACTGGTGTAAGTACACAGGGCCTCCAAACACCACTGGTGTAAGTACACAGGGCCTCCAAACACCACTGGTGTAAGTACACAGGGCCTCCAAACACCACTGGTATAAATCCACAGGGCCTCCAAACACCACTGGTATAAATCCACAGGGCCTCCAAACACCACTGGTGTAAGTACACAGGGCCTCCAAACACCACTGGTATAAATCCACAGGGCCTCCAAACACCACTGGTATAAATCCACAGGGCCTCCAAACACCACTGGTGTAAGTACACAGGGCCTCCAAACACCACTGGTGTAAGTACACAGGGCCTCCAAACACCACTGGTGTAAGTACACAGGGCCTCCAAACACCACTGGTGTAAGTACATACACCAGTGGAGGCTGCTGAGGGGAGGACGGCTCATAATAATGGCTGGAACGGAGCGAATGGAATGGCACGAGCCCGTCCTCCCCAATTAAGGTGCCACCAACCTCCTGTGACGCACACACACACACACACACACACACACACACACCACACACACACTCATGTCTCTTCCTCTGCAGTGAAACACTCCCAGTCGTTCGTGGTTGCCCGTGGCGACAGCGGCAGCATGGAGGACCTGAGGGAGACCGCCCGGCGACTGACCTCCGACAGCTGCTTCAGGAAGAGCGTCTACAAGATCATCACACGCCACGACCAGGAGGCCTCCGCCAAGAAAGATGACTGACAGAGAGATATATGGAGGGATGGATTGTGTTTGGGTATGTGTGTGTGTGTGAAAGACAGAGGGAGAGAGATAGAGATAGGGAGAGGGAAATAGTGTTTGTGTGAGAGCGAGTGAGATAGAGATGGAAAGACATGTGTGTGTGTGTGGAAGAGAGAGAGAGAGAGAGAGAGCGAGAGAGAGAGAGAGAGAGAGAGAGAGAGAGAGCGAGAGATAGAGAGGAGAGCGAGAGAGAGAGAGAGAGATAGAGATGGAAAGAACAGTGTGTGTGGTGTGTGTGAGAGAGAGAGAGAGAGAGAGAGAGAGAGAGAGAGAGAGAGAGAGACCGTAGCTTTACCTCAGTGTAATACTGTCCTGTCCTGTGATCTGCTCCCACAGTAGCAGGGTCAGGACTGTCTTTAGGATGCCATCTCTTCAACGGACATAGCCTGGTTGTATTCAAACTGTTTTATTTAAATTATTTTTATTCAAAGGAAATTGTTTATTGCAAAAGGTATAGCAGCTCTCTACTGTCGTACAGCTAAAGCTTCAAGGACTGTTGGAAAAAGAACGGATATACACTATCAGTCAAAAGTTTGGACACACCTACTCATTCAAGGGTTTTTCTTTATTTTTACAATGTTCTATTGTAGAATAATAGTGAAGACATCAAAACTATGAAATAACACATATGGAATCATGTAGTCACCAAAAAGTGTTAAACAAATCAAAGCTGTCATCAAGGCAAAGGGTGGCTATTTGAAGAATCTCAAACAAATCAAAATATATTTTATATTTGAGATTCTTCAAATAGCCACCCTTTGCCTTGATGACAGCTTTGATTTTTAACACTTTTTTGGTTACTACATGATTCCATATGTGTTATTTCATAGTTTTGATGTCTTCACTATTATTCTACAATGTAAAAAATATTAAAAATAAAGAAAAACCGTTGAATGAGTAGGTATGTCCAAACTTTTGACTGGTACTGTAGTTATTGAGCCAACACGATATGCCACTGTGACAATGTGATGGTATGAAGTGCAGTACAGGCAGAATCCTCAAACCTGATCCTGTGTGACACCAAAGATGTACTCTTTAAAATAGGAATGCAATTGTAAATCAACCATATAGCCAAGACACACAATGTAAGTCGACAGACAAGACACTCCATCTTTGATTGTTGACTGCATCGCAGTGCTAGCTGTGCCACTAGAGATCCTGGTTCGAATCCAGGCTCTGTCGTAGCCGGCCGCGACCGGGAGACCCCATGGGGCGGCGCACAATTGGCCCAGCGTCGTTCAGGTTAGGGGAGGGAATGGCCGGCAGGGATGTAGCTCAGTTGGTAGAGCATGGCGTTTGCAACGCCAGGGTTGTGGGTTCGATTTCCATGAAAAAAATAATCTGATATGAAACCAGGTTGGCCAGGTCCCAGATCTGTTTGTGCTGTCTTGCTTGACAATGACCATAGGAGTTGGCAAGACAGCACAAATAGATCTGGGACCAGGCTAGGTTCAATGCTACTGTTATCTGTATAATCTGTTCTGGACCAGAAACCCTCATCAGACTCACTATAAACAACATCTCACTGGAAATGATAGGAATCATGTAACCCACGTGGCCCTGTGGAAAAGATGCCCTCATGTTTTAGGGCAGGGAAACAAAATATACTTTTGAACCTAATATTGTTGTAATAATGAAACTAAATGCCTTGTTGTAGTTATTAAAGCTGTGTTCAACCTTGTTCTGGTCTGGTTCTGATCTGGTACAACACACTGAAGCCCTATATGACCCCTACATTAGACCCGTATATGACCCCCTACATTACATTTATCCAGAGCGACTTACAAATTGGTGCATTCAACTTATGATAGCCAATGGGACAACCACCCCCAAAAAAATTAAGGGGGGGGGGGGGGGGGGGGGGGGGGGGGGGTAGAAGGATTGCTTTATACTATTCCAGGTATTCCTTAAAGAGGTGGGGTTTCAAGTGTCTCCGGAAGGTGGTGAGTGACTCCGCTCTCCTGGCGTCGTGGGGGAGCTTGTTCCACCATTGGGGTGCCAGAGCAGCGAACAGTTTTCACTGGGCTGAGCGGGAACTGTGCTTCCGTAGAGGTAGGGGGGCCAGCAGGCCAGAGGTTGGATGAACGCAATGCCCTCGTTTGGGTGTAGGGTCTGATCAGAGCCTGAAGGTAAGGAGGTGCCGTTCCCCTCACAGCTCCGTAGGCAAGCACCATGGTCTTGTAGTAGATGCAAGCCTCAACTGGAAGCCAGTGGAGTGTGCGGAGGAGCGGGGTGACATGAGAGAACTTGGGAAGGTTGAACACCAGACGGGCTGCAGCATTCTGGATAAGTTGTAGGGGTTTAATGGCACAGTCAGGGAGCCCAGCCAACAGCGAGTTGCAGTAATCCAGACGGGAGATGACAAGTGCCTGGATTAGGACCTGTGCCGCTTCCTGTGTAAGGTAGGGTCGCACTCTGCGAATGTTGTAGAGCATGAACCTGCAGGATCGGGTCACCGCTTTGAAGTTAGCAGAGAACGACAGGGTGTTGTCCAGGGTCACGCCAAGGCTCTTTGCACTCTGGGAGGAGGACACAATGGAGTTGTCAACCGTGATGGCGAGATCATGGAGCGGGCAGTCCTTCCCCGGGAGGAAGAGCAGCTCTGTCTTGCCGAGGTTCAGCTTGAGGTGGTGATCCGTCATCCACACTGATATGTCTGCCAGACATGCAGAGATGCTATTCGCCACCTGGTTATCAGAAGGGGGAAAGGAGAAGATTAGTTGTGTGTCGTCTGCGTAGCAATGATAGGGAGAGGCCATGTGAGGATATGACAGAGCCAAGTGACTTGGTGTATAGCGAGAATAGGAGAGGGCCTAGAACTGAGCCCTGGGGGACACCAGTGGTGAGAGCACGTGGTGCGGAGACAGATTCTCGCCACGCCACTTAGTAGGAGCGACCTGTCAGGTAGGACGCAATCCAGGAGTGAGCCGCGCCGGAGATGCCCAACTCGGAGAGTGTGGAGAGGAGGATCTGATGGTTCACAGTATCAAAGGCAGCAGACAGGTCTAGAAGGACAAGAGCAGAGGAGAGAGAGTTAGCTTTAGCAGTGCGGAGAGCCTCCGTGACACAGAGAAGAGCAGTCTCAATTGAATGACCAGTCTTGAAACCTGACTGGTTTGGATCAAGAAGGTCATTCTGAGAGAGATAGCAAGAGAGTTGGCTAAAGACGGCACGCTCAAGAGTTTTGGAAAGAAAAGAAAGAAGGGATACTGGTCTATAGTTGTTGACATCGGAGGGATCGAGTGTAGGTTTTTTGAGGAGGGGTGCAACTCTCGCTCTCTTGAAGACGGAAGGGACATAGCCAGCGGTCAAGGATGAGTTGATGAGCGAGGTGAGGTAAGGGAGAAGGTCTCCGGAAATGGTCTGGAGAAGAGAGGAGGGGATAGGGTCAAGCGGGCAGGTTGTTGGGCGGCCGGCCGTCACAAATCGCAAGATTTCATCTGGAGAGAGAGGGGAGAAAGAAGTCAAAGCATAGTGGTAGGGCAGTGTGAGCAGGACCAGCAGTGTCATTTGACTTAACAAACGAGGATCGGATGTCGTATTAGAGCCCTATATGACCCCCTACATTAGAGCCCTATATGACCCCCTACATTAGAGCCCTATATGACCCCCTACATTAGAGCCCTATATGACCCCCTACATTAGAGCCCTATATGACCCCCCTACATTAGAGCCCTATATGACCCCCTACATTAGAGCCCTATATGACCCCCTACATTAGAGCCTTATACGACCCCCTACATTAGAGCCCTATATGACCCCCTACATTAGAGCCCTATATGACCCCCTACATTAGAGCCCTATATGACCCCCTACATTAGAGCCCTATATGACCCCCTACATTAGAGCCCTATATGACCCCCTACATTAGAGCCCTATATGACCCCCTACATTAGAGCCCTATATGACCCCCTACATTAGAGCCCTATATGACCCCCTACATTAGAGCCCTATATGACCCCCTACCATTAGAGCCCTATATGACCCCCTACATTAGAGCCCTATATGACCCCCTACATTAGGCTAGTTCAGGGACAGCTAGGAGTAGGGCTAGATCAGGGACAGCTAGGAGTAGGGCTATTTCAGGGACAGCTAGGAGTAGGGCTAGATCAGGGACAGCTAGGAGTAGGGCTATTTCAGGGACAGCTAGGAGTAGGGCTAGTTCAGGGACAGCTAGGAGTAGGGCTAGTTCAGGGACAGCTAGGAGTAGGGCTAGTTCAGGGACAGCTATGAGTAGGGCTAGTTCAGGGACAGCTAGGAGTAGGGCTAGTTCAGGGACAGCTAGGAGTAGGGCTAGTTCAGGGACAGCTAGGAGTAGGGCTAGTTCAGGGACAGCTAGGAGTAGGGCTATTTCAGGGACAGCTAGGAGTAGGGCTAGATCAGGGACAGCTAGGAGTAGGGCTATTTCAGGGACAGCTAGGAGTAGGGCTAGATCAGGGACAGCTAGGAGTAGGGCTATTCAGGGACAGCTAGGAGTAGGGCTAGTTCAGGGACAGCTAGGAGTAGGGCTAGTTCAGGGACAGCTAGGAGTAGGGTTAGTTCAGGGACAGCTAGGAGTAGGGCTAGATCTAGTAGGTCAGTTTGGAGTGTTCTATAGGACATCATGTAGGAGAGTTCTGTAGGTCACTGTTCAGTAGGACATTGTAGGTGGGGATGGGGCCAGTAGTGTTCAGTAGGACATTGTAGGTGGTGATGGGGCCAGTAGTGTTCAGTAGGACATTGTAGGTGGGGATGGGGCCAGTAGTGTTCAGTAGACATTGTAGGTGGTGATGGGGCCAGTAGTGTTCATAGGACATTGGTAGTGGGATGGGGCCAGTAGTGTTCAGTAGGACATTGTAGGTGGTGATGGGGCCAGTAGTGTTCAGTAGGACATTGTAGGTGGTGATGGGGCCAGCAGTGTTCAGTAGGACATTGTAGGTGGTGATGGGGCCAGTAGTGTTCAGTAGGACATTGTAGGTGGTGATGGGGCCAGTAGTGTTCAGTAGGACATTGTAGGTGGTGATGGGGCCAGTAGTGTTCAGTAGGACATTGTAGGTGGTGATGGGGCCAGTAGTGTTCAGTAGGACAGTCATCACCCTTTCCACCATCAACAGGATCTGTAACACATTAACACATCATTATGACGTTTAATATTGAAGATAACGTAAAGATGTTCCCTTTAAATATATAGGTAGATAAAAAGCTCACGTTTGTAATTTTTCCATCTCACTCACGTTCACCTCACCTCCCCTATGGCTAGCTAAAGGACCCTACGTCTCAAATGGCACCCTATACCCTATATGGTGCACTACTTTTCTTTAGATTTTTAGGGCCCTGGCAAAATAGTGCCTAAATGGGGTGCCTTTTTGGGACCGCGAATCTGCTTTTTTGGGGGAAACCCGGGCGCAGTCCCTCTGCCGGGCCCGGCCTTTAAATTTGATAACTGTTGGCAGATTGTCTTTTCTGAAAAAAGCATCCCCCAAATGTACAGGACTGGCCAGTCTAACCTTGGGAAGAGTAACTGGGCAAGAGAGAGAAAGAAAAAAGGGGGAAGGAGGAGAGAAAGGAAGAGAGAAAAGGGGAAAAGAGAGAGAGGAAAGAGCGGGAGAAAAAAGAGAAGGAAAAAAAGACAAGACGGACAAAAGAGAGAAGGGAAAGCAGAAGAGAAAGAAAAATAGGGGAGGAAAAAGAATTGGGGAAAAAAAAAAACGGGGGAAAAAAAGAACGGAAAGAAGGGAAAAATTTAAAAAAAAAAAAAAAAATTTTTAAAAAGGGGGAAAAAAAAAAAGGGGAAAAAAGGGAAATGGGGTTTTTTTTTTTTCCCCCCCCCTTGGGGGGGGGCGGGGTGGGGGGGTTTTTTTAAAATTTTTGGGGGGGGAAAAAAATTTTTTTTAATAGAAATTTAATGTGAGAGTAAAAAGGAGTAGAAGGGGGGGTCTTTCTTTTTTTGGGGGCCCCCACGGGTTTTTGGTTGAGGGGGCTGCCCCCCAACAAACTTTGTTTTTTGTTTTTAATACTTTTTCCCGCAGTTCTACACATTTTTCCATGGGCAAGAGAAAATTTGTAAAATTTTTTAACACATTTCTGCCTCTACTCTTTTTGCCTGAGGGGGAGAGAACTTTCTGCATTTTTTAGCTAATTTCCTGCAAATTCCTACACTTTGCCAGTTAATGATGTCTGGTCGGGGTGACTAACAAAATCAAAGGGGGCCCCCCCGGAGGTCGGGGCCCCCGGAGGTCAACCCCTGGGGTCGGCCCCCTGGAGGGCAGGCCCCGGAGGTCGAGCCCCTGGGGGCAGGGCCCCTGGGGTCAGGGCCCCTGGAGGTCAGGCCCCCTGGGGTCAGGCCCCTGGAGGGCAAGCCCTGGGGGTCAGGGCCCCCTGGAGTCGGGCCCCCTGGGGGTCAGGGGCCCCTGAGCAAGCCCCGGAGTCGGGCCCCGGGGGTCAGGGCCCCCTGGAGTCAGGGGCCCCGGGGGTCAGAGCCCCTGAGGCAGGCCCCTGAGGTCGGGCCCCCTGGGGGTCAGGGCCCCTGGAGGGCAGGGCCCCCGGAGGGCAGGGTCTCTGGGCACATGCCCCGCGGGGCCCGGGCTATTCCCCATATACTACCATTTTTTAAAAGCGGCTAGACTAAATTTCAAAACAAAAAAGGGGGCTGCATGGATTGATGCTGTCATGACTGACTAAAGGAAAAAATGCTGATGCCGACCAAACGCGAAATGCACCTGGGGTATTCTACAATTTTTCTCTCAACAGTAAGTTGAGACCTGACTGAGTTTACCCCCATCCCCCCCCCCCAAAATAAAATATGTGTTTTTTGGGGCAGGGGCCCCCCAGACCCGGGGCCCGCGCCGCTTATGTCACTTGTGCCGGGGGCCCCCCTGCTGTCAGCACCCCTCCCCCGCCCCCCCCCCCCCCCCCCCCCAAACCCCACCCCCCCCCCCCCCCCCCTTCCCCCCCCCTCCCCTTTCCCTCCCTCCTCCCCTTTCCCCTTTCCTCCTCTCTCCAGCTTAACTTCTACCACCCCTCAGCTCCGCCCCCATCCCCTGGTGCTATTACCATGGTAACACCTACATAAGAGGCCAAAGCACCCCCATGTGTATTTCTCTTTCTGTTTTAATTAGAGAGATTGGGGATTAGTACAAAGGACTCTAAAGCCTATTGGCTACAACATCAGGTTGTGGTGTGTGTGTGTGTGTGTGTGTGTGTGTGTGTGTGTGTGTGTGTGTGTGTGTGTAGCGTGTGTTTGATCATGGATATAGTGAGGAGCAATAATAATACTAAACACCATATATGTACAAAACATTATTGCATTTAATTGGATAAGCTAATGAAACACTTATTTTTTTACAACCTGTTACCCTTCACACAAAGAGGCCAACTCTGTGTCTGGTTGGTTGCCAGGGGATAGAAGGTGGGGATTTGGGTTAGAGGGTCTCTGTTTTCTGTTGTGTCACATGACATGAGGAGGGTCCAATAGGAGATAGGAGGGTTCAGCAGAGTTTTGATTATGCTTCCAAAAAAAAAGAGAGTATAGATTCTAGAACACTGCAGTAGACCCAAAAGGGTATAGATTCTAGAACACTGCAGTAGAATCAAAAGGGTATAGATTCTAGAACACTGCAGTAGAATCAAAAAGGGTATAGATTCTAGAACACTGCAGTAGAACCAAAAGGGTATAGATTCTAGAACACTGCAGTAGAACCAAAAGGGTATAGATTCTAGAACACTGCAGTAGAACCAAAAGGGTATAGATTCTAGAACACTGCAGTAGAATCAAAAGGGTATAGATTCTAGAACACTGCAGTAGAATCAAAAGGGTATAGATTCTAGAACACTGCAGTAGAATCAAAAGGGTATAGATTATAGAACACTGCAGTAGAACCAAAAGGGTATAGATTCTAGAACACTGCAGTAGAACCAAAAGGGTATAGATTCTAGAACACTGCAGTAGACCCAAAAGGGTATAGATTCTAGAACACTGCAGTAGAATCAAAAGGGTATAGATTCTAGAACACTGCAGTAGAACCAAAAGGGTATAGATTCTAGAACACTGCAGTAGAACCAAAAGGGTATAGATTCTAGAACACTGCAGTAGACCCAAAAGGGTATAGATTCTAGAACACTGCAGTAGAATCAAAAGGGTATAGATTCTAGAACACTGCAGTAGAACCAAAAGGGTATAGATTCTAGAACACTGCAGTAGTACCAAAAGGGTATAGATTCTAGAACACTGCAGTAGAATCAAAAGGGTATAGATTCTAGAACACTGCAGTAGAACCAAAAGGGTATAGATTCTAGAACACTGCAGTAGAATCAAAAGGGTATATATTCTAGAACACTGCAGTAGAACCAAAAGGGTATAGATTCTAGAACCCTGCAGTAGAATCAAAAGGGTATAGATTCTAGAACACTGCAGTAGAATCAAAAGGGTATAGATTCTAGAACACTGCAGTAGAATCAAAAGGGTATAGATTCTAGAACACTGCAGTAGAACCAAAAGGGTATAGATTCTAGAACACTGCAGTAGAATCAAAAGGGTATAGATTCTAGAACACTGCAGTAGAACCAAAAGGGTATAGATTCTAGAACACTGCAGTAGAACCAAAAGGGTATAGATTCTAGAACACTGCAGTAGAATCAAAAGGGTATAGATTCTAGAACACTGCAGTAGAATCAAAAGGGTATAGATTCTAGAACACTGCAGTAGAATCAAAAGGGTATAGATTCTAGAACACTGCAGTAGAATCAAAAGGGTATAGATTCTAGAACACTGCAGTAGAATCAAAAGGGTATAGATTCTAGAACACTGCAGTAGAATCAAAAGGGTATAGATTCTAGAACACTGCAGTAGAACCAAAAGGGTATAGATTCTAGAACACTGCAGTAGAATCAAAAGGGTATAGATTCTAGAACACTGCAGTAGAACCAAAAGGGTATAGATTCTAGAACACTGCAGTAGAACCAAAAGGGTATAGATTCTAGAACACTGCAGTAGAATCAAAAGGGTATAGATTCTAGAACACTGCAGTAGAACCAAAAGGGTATAGATTCTAGAACACTGCAGTAGAATCAAAAGGGTATAGATTCTAGAACACTGCAGTAGAACCAAAAGGGTATAGATTCTAGAACACTGCAGTAGAATCAAAAGGGTATAGATTCTAGAACACTGCAGTAGAATCAAAAGGGTATAGATTCTAGAACACTGCAGTAGAATCAAAAGGGTATAGATTCTAGAACACTGCAGTAGAATCAAAAAGGTATAGATTCTATACTATAGAACACCTCCACTGCACAACCATGGCTCTGATGTTTCCCATTATATTACATGAAAAGAGACAGGCATAGGATCCAGGCGGATAGTCCAGAAGCACATATAGAACATACCAGTCTCTATACGATTGAACACCACTGCAGTAGAATCAGGGTCCAGGTAGATTATATTCTACAGTAGAATCAGGGTCCAGGTAGATTATATTCTACAGTAGAATCAGGGTCCAGGTAGATTATATACTGCAGTAGTATCAGGGTCCAGGTAGATTCTATTCTACAGTAGAATCAGGGTCCAGGTAGATTCTATACTGCAGTAGAATCAGGGTCCAGGTAGATTCTATACTGCAGTAGAATCAGGGTCCAGGTAGATTCTATACTGCAGTAGAATCAGGGTCCAGGTAGATTATATTCTACAGTAGAATCAGGGTCCAGGTAGATTCTATACTGCAGTAGAATCAGGGTCCAGGTAGATTATATAATGCAGTAGGATCAGGGTCCAGGTAGATTCTATACTGCAGTAGAATCAGGGTCCAGGTAGATGATATACTGCAGTAGAATCAGGGTCCATGTAGATTCTATTCTACAGTAGAATCAGGGTCCAGGTAGATTCTATACTGCAGTAGAATCAGGGTCCAGGTATAGGTCCTCCCTATAGGCTGTCTCATCGTTGTCGGTGTCGTCGGCAAACTTAATGATGGTGTTGGAGTCGTGCCTGGCCATGCAGTCATGGGTGAACAGGGAAGACAGGAGGGGACTGAGCACGCACCCCTGAGGGTCCCCCCCGTTGAGGATTAGTGTGGCAGATGTGTTGTTACCTACCCTTACCACCTGGGGGTGGCCCGTCAGGAAGTCCAGGATCCAGTTGCAGAGGGAGGTGTTTAGTCCCAGGGTCCTTAGCTTAGTGATGGGCTTTGAGGGCACTATGGTGTTGAACGCTGAGCTGTAGTCAATGAATAGTATTCTCACATAGGTGTTCCTTTTGTCCAGGTGGGAAAGGGCAGTGTGGAGTGCACTAGAGATTGCATCATCTGTGGATCTGTTGGGGCGGAATGCAAATTGGAGTGGATCTAGAGTTTCTGGGATAATGGTGTTGATGTGAGCCATGACCAGCCTTTCAAATTACTTCATGGCTACAGACGTGAGTGCTACGGGTCAATAGTCATTTAGGTGGTTTCCTTAGTGTTCTTGGGCACAGGGAAAATGGTGATCTGCTTGAAACATGTTGGTATTACGGACTCAGTCAGGGACAGGTAGAAAATGTAAGTGAAGACACTTGCCAGTTGGTCAGTGCGTGCTCGGAGTACACGTCCTGGTAATCTGTCTGGCCCTGTGGCCTTGTGAATGTTGACCTGTTTAAAGATCTTACTCACATCGGCTACGGAGAGCGTGATCACACAGTCGTCCGGAACAGCTGATGCTCTCATGCATGCTTCAGTGTTGCTTGCCTGGAAGCGAGAATATAAGTAATTTAGCTCGTCTGGTAGGCTCGTGTCACTGGGCAGCTCGTGGCTGTGCTTCCCTTTGTAGTCTGTAATAGTTTGCAAGCCCTGTCACATCCGACAAGCATCAGAGCCGGTGTAGTACGATTCAATCTTAGTCCTGTATTGACTCTTTGCCTGTTTGATGGTTCGTCGGAGGGCATAGCGGGATTTCTTATAAGCGTCCGAGTTAGAGTCCCGCTCCTTGAAAGCGGCAGCTCTACCCTTTAGCTCAGTGCGGATGTTGCCTGTAATCCATGGCTTCTGGTTGGGGTATGTACGTATGGTCACTGTGGGGACGACGTCATCAATGCACTTATTGATGAAGCCAGTGACTGATGTGGTGTACTCCTCAATGCCATCGGAAGAATCCCGGAACATATTCCAGTCTGTGCTAGCAAAACAGTCCTGTAGCTTAGCATCTGCGTCATCTGACCACTTTTTTATTGGCCAAGTCACTGGTGCTTCCTGCTTTAGTTTTTGATTGTAAGCAGGAATCAGGAGAATAGATTATTGGCAGATTTGCCAAATTGAGGGCGAGGGAGAACTTTGTACGGATCTCTGTGTGTGGAGTAAAGGTGGTCTAGAGTTTATTTTCCTCTGGTTGCACATGTAACATGCTGGTAGAAATGAGGTAAAACGGATTTAAGTTTCCCTGCATTAAAGTCCCCGGCCACTAGGAGCGCTGCCTCTGGATGAGCGTTTTCCTGTTTGCTTATGGCCTTATAAAGCTCATTGAGTGTGGTCTTAGTGCCAGCATTGGTTTGTGGTGGTAAATAGACAGTTACAAAAAATATAGATGAAAACTCTCTTGGTAAATAGTGTGGTCTACAGCTTATCATGAGATACTCTACCTCAGGTGAGCAAAACCTTGATACTTCCTTAATATTAGATTTTGTGCACCAGCTGTTGTTTACAAATATACACAGACCACCATCCCTTGTCTTACCGGAGGCAGCTTTTCTATCTTACCAATCCGCCAGCTGTATGTTATCCATGTCGTCGTTCAGCCATGACTCGGTGAAACATAAGATATTACAGTTTTTAATGTCCCGGTGGAAATCCATGATCTTAGTTCGTCTATTTTGTTATCCAATGATTGTACGTTGGCCAATAGGACTGATGGTAGAGGCAGATTACCCACTCGCCGTCAGATCCTTACAAGGAACCCCGACCTACGTCCACGATATCTCCGTCTTTTTATCATGCGAATGACGGGGATTTGGGCCTTGTCGGGTGTCTGAAGAAAATCCTTCGCGTCTGACTCGTTAAATAAAAAATCTTCGTCCAGTACGAGGTGAGTAATCGCTGTCCTGATATCCAGAAGCTCTTTTTGGTCATAAGAGACGGTGGCAGAAACATTGTGTACAAAATAAGTTACAATTGCACAATTGGTTAGGAGCCCGTAAAACGGCAGCCATCTCCTCTGGCGCTTCTCTGAGACTAGTTTGCGTGGTACCTGTGTCACGCCCTGGCTCTGGGGACTATGTTATGTTGAGCCAGGGTGTGTAAGTCTATGTTTGTATATCTATGTTGGCCTGAGTGACTCCCAATCAGAGGCAACGAGTGTCAGCTGGTTGTCTCTGATTGGGAGCCATATTTAACTGTCGGTCTTTTCACTTTGTGTTTGTGGTTTCTTGTTCCGTGTTTGTTGGTTTATGTAGCCAGGGACGTCACGTTTCGTTTTTGTTGTTTTGATCGTGTGATCATCTTGATAAAATAAAATGTTCGCATTCAACGCTGCGCCTTGGTCCTCCTCATTGGTAGACGATCGTGACAGAAGAAACCACCATAACAGGACCAAGCAGCGTGAAGAAGAGAGAGGATGGACTTGGGAGCAGTGGAGTAGGAGTCTCGACTGGGCCAAGCCAAGAGAAGAGGAGAGAGGTTGGACTTTGGAGCAGTGGGGTGAGAGTCTGGCGTGAACGATGGAGGCCTGGCCCACGGGGAGGAGAGACCCCCAGAAAATTTTTAGGGGGGGGCTCACGACGTCGGGGCAGCAGGAGGCCGCGATAGAGCGGTCCAGCGGGTTGGCAGAAGAGGCCGCCAGGTTACGGGAGTCACTGGTCACCAGGGGGAAGGAGGTTGTAGAGGCACGGCGAGAGGTACTGGCGTGTGTTGCCAGTCCGGTCCGGCCTGTTCCTGATCCCCACGTAGGGCCAGTGGTGTGTGTTCCCAGTACGGTCCGGCCTGTTCCTGCCACTCCCACCAAGTCTGTGGTGCGCGTCGCCAGCCCAGTCCGGCCCATCCAAGCTCCCCGCACCAAGTCTGTGGTGCGCGTCACCAGCCCAGTCCGGCCCATTCCTGCTCCCCGCACCAAGTCTGTGGTGCGTTTCGTCAGCCCTGTCCGTTCCGTTCCTGCTCTCCGCACCAAGTCTATGGTGCGCGTCGCCAGCCCAGTCCGGCCCATCCAAGCTCCCCGCACCAAGTCAGTGGTGCGCGTCGTCAGCCCGGTCCGGCTCATTCCTGCTCCCCGCACCAAGTCAGGGGTGCGCTTCGTCAGCCCGGTCCGGCCCATTCCTGCTCCCCGCGCCAAGGCAGTGGTGCGCTTCGTCAGCCCGGTCCGGCCCATTCCTTTACCCCGCACCAAGGCAGTGGTGCGCTTCGTCAGCCCGGCTCGGCCCGTTCCTGCTCCCCGCACCAAGTCAGTGGTGTGCTTCGTCAGCCCAGTCCGGCCTGTCCCTGCTCCACGCACCAAGCCTACGGTGTGCGTCGTCAGCCTGGTAAGGCCCGTTCCTCCTCCACGCACCAAGCCAGGGGTGCGCGTCGTCAGTCCAGCACAATCCGTGCCTGGGTCATGTCCGGAGCCGGATCCGCCGCCGAGGCGGAGTGCCCACCCGGTCCCTCCCCTGTTGTGGTTGTTTGGCGCGGTCGGAGTCCGCGCCTTTGGGGGGGGGTACTGTCACGCCCTGGCTCTGGGGACTATGTTATGTTGAGCCAGGGTGTGTAAGTCTATGTTTGTATATCTATGTTGGCCTGAGTGACTCCCAATCAGAGGCAACGAGTGTCAGCTGGTTGTCTCTGATTGGGAGCCATATTTAACTGTCGGTCTTTTCACTTTGTGTTTGTGGTTTCTTGTTCCGTGTTTGTTGGTTTATGTAACCAGGGACGTCACGTTTCGTTTTTGTTGTTTTGATCGTGTGATCATCTTGATAAAATAAAATGTTCGCATTCAACGCTGCGCCTTGGTCCTCCTCATTGGTAGACGATCGTGACAACCTGGAGCAAAACAATACATCACCCTTGCGTTTTCGTTCGAGCTGGTAAGCAGAAAAATAACTAAGCTAACTACCTTTTTGTTGGACTTTACAAGACTAGTCTGTATAAGACTGGTTTGCGTGGTCAGCGTAGTGGCGTGAAGATATTGAGATATAGTTCAATTTCTCTGACAGTTAGCGACTCGTTAGCAACATACTTATTTTGAGCAAATAAAGGCTTCATAATTCATAAAGGTCATGTTAACTGACTGATATTATCTCACAGAACAAAACCTATAAGATCTCCAAAGCCTGTGTTGACCTCAGACCTTATATCCCAAAACCCCATTATTTCCCCCCTTCATTTCTCCCATAGCAACGGCCAACGAACCAGAGGTAGAAAATGCTGACTCATTTCAGCTTTTTAGGACTACAGTCGTGGTCAAAAGTTTTGAGAATGACACAAGTATTGGTCTTCACAAAGTTTGCTGCTTCAGTATTTTTAGATATTTTTGTCAGATGTTGCTATGGTATACTGAAGTATAGTTACAAGCATTCCATAAGTGTCAAAGGCTTTTATTGACAATTACATTAAGTTTATGCAAAGAGTCAACATTTGCAGTGTTGACCCTTCTTTTTCAAGACCTCTGCAATCCGCCCTGGCATGCTGTCAATTAACTTCTGGGCCACATCCTGACTGATTGCAGCCCATTCTTGCATAATCAATGCTTGGAGTTTGTCAGAATTTGTGGGTTTTTGTTTGTCCACCCGCCTCTTGAGGATTGACCACAAGTTCTCAATGGGATTAAGGTCTGGGGAGTTTCCTGGCCATGGACCCAAAATGTCGATGTTTTGTTCCCCGAGCCACTTAGTTATCACTTTTTCCTTATAGCAAGGTGCTCCATCATGCTGGAAAAGGCATTGTTCATCACCAAACTGTTCTTGGATGGTTGGGATAAGTTGCTCTCGGAGGATGTGTTGGTACCATTCTTTATTCATGGATGTGTTCTTAGGCAAAATTGTGAGTGAGCCCACTCCCTTGGCTGAGAAGCAACCCCACACATGAATGGTCTCAGGATGCTTTACTGTTGGCATGACACAGGACTGATGGTAGTGCTCACCTTGTCTTCTCCGGACAAGCTTTTTTCCCGATGCCCCAAACAATCGGAAAGGGGATTCATCAGAGAAAATGACTTTACCCCAGTCCTCAGCAGTCCAATTGCCCTGTACCTTTTGCAGAATATCAGTCTGTCCCTGATGTTTTTCCTGGAGAGAAGTGGCTTCCTCGGTGCCCTTCTTGACACCAGGCCATCCTCCAAAAGTCTTCGCCTCACTGTGCGTGCAGATGCACTCACACCAGCCTGCTGCCATTCCTGAGCAAGCTCTGCACTGGTGGTGCCCCGATCCCGCAGCTGAATCAACTTTAGGAGACGGTCCTGGCGCTTGCTGGACTTTCTTGGACGCCCTGATGCCTTCTTTACAACAATTGAACCTCTCTCCTTGAAGTTCTTGATGATCCGATAAATGGTTGATTTAGGTACAATCTTACTAGCAGCAATATCCTTGCCTGTGAAGCCCTTTTTGTGCAAAGCAATGATGACGGCACGTGTTTCCTTGCAGGTAACCATGGTTAACAGAGGAAGAACAATGATTTCAAGCACCACCCTCCTTTTAAAGCTTCCAGTCTGTTATTCTAACTCAATCAGCATGACAGAGTGATCTCCAGCCTTGTCCTCGTCAACACTCTCACCTATGTTAACGAGAGAATCACTGACATGATGGCAGCTAGTCCTTTTGTGGCAGGGCTGAAATGCAGAGGACATTTTTTGGGGGGATTAAGTTCATTTTCATGGCAAAGAGTGACTTTGCAATTAATTGCAATTAATCTGATCACTCTTCATAACATTCTGGAGTATATGCAAATTGCCATCATAAAAACTGAGGCAGCAGACTTTGTGAAAATGTATATCTGTGTAATTCTCAAAACTTTTGACCACGACTGTACAAGCTGGCGAGCTCTATAGGATAGAATATAATATCTAAAGAGCTGATGGTCTCATCATGTCCTGTAGGGGGACCTCTATCTTTAATAATGTGAACGTCTCTACAGTCTGAACCAGTCATTGGTGAAACCTGCCGTGGTCTACTGATTGTCATCTATTCATCTATGTGACACTCCTCTTTTATTCTGTACATTGATTCCAGACTCTTTCCAGCACTCTCACATATAACGTGATCAAACATGTTCACATTTCTCTTCACTGTTACTGTCTTAGTGCTCTGTGCTGCAGGTACAGTTTCATAATGTTTCATTTATTTAACCAGGAAAGTTAAGAACTAAATTCTTATTTACAATGACGGCCTTCTATAGTTATAGATATTGATGTTTCCAAGCATACGTTCACTTCACCTGAGTCTTGATGTATTCAGGTCTAACTGTATCTAACTCTATTGATTTCATTCTCACTGTATCCTTACAGGTCTTGTTGAGGGGAGTGAAGTCACTCAGACACCCACCATACTCTGGGGACTGAAAGACAGTGATGCTCAGATGAACTGCAGTCACACTAAGGGATCTGACTACAAACAGATGTACTGGTACAGACAGCGTCCAGGAGAGGGAATGAAGCAGGTAGTTTACACAAGTAGTTATAGCAAACCAGACTATGGAGCCTTCGGTGAAGACAAATATCCAACTGTTAAGACTGCAGCTGAGAGTGGATCTTTCACAGTGAAGAAGGTGGAGGCAGGAGACAGCGGCATGTACTTCTGTGCCGTGTATGAACACAGTGATACAGACGACAAGCACAGCTGCACAAAAACCCCAGAGTTTCAATAGGATGGAATATAATATGTAAAGAGATGGTCTCATCACGTACTGTAGGGGGACCTCTAACTCTAGTTCTTCTAATGTCTGATGGTTTCATTGTCATGATCATGTAATCAGTCATGTTCACAGTGAGGTCCTATGAGCAAGCTTTACAGTACAGGCTTCCTGACACTCCCTCTAACACTCTCACTATCCACCACCCTAAAGGAAACAGGATACTACAACATCAGCCCCTCTCCTTTCACCTCAGAGCTTCAGCCAGGAGACACTCATATCACTCCTCCACTGAGGCTTCCTCATCATCATCGTCTTCCTCAGCATCTTCATCATCATAATCTTCTCCTTCATCATCATGTTCAGAGTTCTGATTCACCTGGCAGCTCTACCACTCTGGGTGACAGGTATTAAATCCCTTACGATGAGAAGCCTAACAAATCTACTAATGTCATCAAACTGAATAAAATATCCTCTCTCTCTCTCTCCTTTCTTTCTCTCTCTCTCTCTCTCTCTCTCTCTCTCTCTCTGTCTCTCTCTCTCTCTCTCTCTCTCTCTCTCTCTCTCTCTCTCTCTCTCTCTCTCTCTCTCTCTCTCTCTCTCTCTCTGTCTCTCTCTCTCTCTCTCTCTCTCTCTACAGGAGAGTCGTTTAGTAGCATGGTTAATCAGAGCCCTGTTGCACTAATAGAAGGACCTGGAAGAAACGTTCAACTCACCTGCAGACATACTATTCCTAACTACCTAATTATACTATGGTACCAACAGTCAGCAGGAGACACTGCTATGAAACTCATTGGTTATTTAAATGTCCAGTCAATAACCTTGGAGTCACCACTTGAAAAGCACTTCAATGTGAGTGGAGACGGTAGGAAAGAGGCTCATCTTCATCTCCTGAGTCTGAGAGGACCTGAAGACAGTGCAGTTTATTACTGTGCAGCCAGCCAACACAGTGATGTAGAGCACCTTCTATCCTCTACATAAACCCTATCTGATAGTAGTATTAGCACACTGTTCAGAACACCTGCATCTGAGGTGTGACTTGGATTCAGTGCCAATGAATAACCACAGATGGATTATGACATAAGCAAGGTGATATCTGTCCTAGTACAGTACACTGGTATTACAGTTTAGTGTCAACACTCATTAACATCAATTATGCAATGTTACAATGTCATATTCCATTACTCCTCCCCTGCATAGATGTGATTCGCATGACTACTTTCCCCCCTCTCTTCAAGAAATAGAGTTAAGAAAATAATACTTTAAAAGTAACACAATCAAATAACAATAATGAGGCTATATACAGGGGGTACCGGTACAGGGTCAATGTGCGGGGGTACAGGTTAGTCGAGGTAATTTGTACATATGGGTAGGGGTATAGTGATTATGCATAGATAATAAACAGCGAGGGTCAATGTAAATACTCTGGGTGGCCATTTGATTAATTGTTCAGGAGTCTTATGGCTTGGGGGTAGAAGTGGTTAAGGAGCCTTTTGGTCCTAGACTTGGCGCTCCAGTACCGCTTGCCGTGCGGTAGAAGAGAGAACAGTCTATGACTAGGGTGGCTGGAGTCTTTGACCATTTTGTGGGCCTTCCTCTGACACCGCCTGGTATTGAGGTCCTGGATGGCAGGAAGCTTGGACCCAGTGATGTACTGGGCCGTACGTACTACCCTCTGTAGCGCCTTACGGTCGGATGCCAGAAGACAGTGCAGTTTATTACTGTTCTGAGCTGAAGACAGTGCAGTGTATTACTGTTCTGACCTGAAGACAGTGCAGTGTATTACTGTTCTGACCTAAAGACAGTGCAGTAAATTACTGTTCTGTCCTGAAGACAGTGCAGTGTATTACTGTTCTGACCTGAAGACAGTGCAGTGTATTACTGTTCTGACCTGAAGACAGTGCAGTGTGTTACTGTTCTGACCTGAAGACAGTGCAGTGTATTACTGTTCTGACCTGAAGACAGTGCAGTGTATTACTGTTCTGACCTGAAGACAGTGCAGTGTATTACTGTTCTGACCTGAAGACAGTGCAGTGTGTTACTGTTCTGACCTGAAGACAGTGCAGTGTATTACTGTTCTGACCTGAAGTCAACACAGTGATGTAGATACCCTTCTGTCTTCTACAAAAACCCCTTCTGATCCGTTACTCCATAACTGCAGTGTACATCAACACCCAGCAGACCTGCTATCCACCGCTGTAGATGTCTGAGCACATGGAGGAAGTTGATATCAAACCTCTATACCAAATAATGTGGTTGATGTTGTTGCTTTGAAGAAACGGTTGAGGTATTTCTTCAAATTACAGCCTATTTGGTAGTGTGATTACTGCAGAATCTAAAACATAGGTACACTCTAAAGATTAAAAAATACAAATACTTTCAATGATGTAGATACGGGTATGTTCCACAATACACCTTTAAGTTGAACAGGAGACCTGTAGGTGAACAAGGTATCTGCTTGAATATCAACATAAAATCTGACGTCAAAGTGATGTCATTTCCTTCCCCTCCGGCAGCTCAGTTCAGCTCACCGTCTCTATTGACTTATTTCCTCTCACCCCTATGGACTCTGGTCTAAAGTAGTGCACTATAAAGGGAATAGGGTGCCATTTGGGATGCAGTATACATTTGACACTCCCACTAGCTGACAACACATCTCTGACTATCTGAAAACCCTTTCTCCTTGTCCATGTGACACTTCTCTCCAGAACCATCAACATGATCACGCTCCTCATACAAGTAGCAACTCTACTACTATGGGTGACAGGTACTAAGTCCCTCATGAAAGATATATTTACTACTGAAGTATGTTGCTAATTAAATAAAAAATATTCAGCAATCTACACACAATTCCCCATAATGACAAAGTGAAAACAGGCTTTTAGAAATTGTTGTAAAATGTATTACAAATTAAAAACAGAAATACATAGAACACTATGTAAAATCTGGGAAACCAGGCCTGCTATTCATAGCAGACTTCGAAAAGGCATTTGATAAAGTACGACTGGGGTTTATATATAAATGCCTGGAGCATTTCAATTTAGGAAAATCTCTTATAAAAGGGGTCAAAATCATGTATAGTAACCATAGGTGTAAAATAGTAAATAATGGCTATTTCTCAGAGAGTTTTAAACTGTCAAGAGGAGTGAAACAAGGTTGTCCACTATCGGCATATCTATTTATTGTGGCCATCGAGATGTTAGCTATTAAAATCAGATCCAACAATAATATCAGGGGCTTAGAAATCCAGGGCTTAAAAACAAAGGTGTCATTGTACACTGATGATTCATGTTTTCTTTTAAATCCACAACTAGAATCCCTCCACAGCCTCATAGAGGATCTAGATACATTTGCTAACCTCTCTGGATTACAACAAAATTATGACAAATGTACTATATTACGTATTGGATCACTAAAAAATACAATTTTTACATTACCATGTAGTTTACCATAAAATGGTCTGATGGTGATGTGGATATACTCGGAATACATATCCCAAAGGAAATAAATGATCTCACTTCAATACATTTTAATAGAAATTTAGCAAAAATAGACAAGATCTTGCTACCATGGAAAGGTAAATACCTGTCAATTTGTGGAAAAATCCCCCTGATTAACTCTTTAGTATTATCCCAGTTTACCTATTTGCTTATGGTCTTGCCTATGCCTAGCGAACAGTTTTTTAAATGATATGAGAAAAAAATATTCCATTTTATTTGGAACGGCAAGCCAGACAAAATTAAACAGACCTATTTATATAATGAATATGAATTCGGAGGACAGAAAGGATTAAATATTAAAGCATTAGACCGATCACTAAAAGCTTCAGTCATACAAAAGTTATACTTAAATCCGAACTGGTTCTCTAGCAAATTAGTAAGATTGTCTCACCCAATGTTCAAGAATGGCCTTTTTCCCTTTATTCAGATTACAACCTCTCACTTTCAGTTATTTGAAAAGGAAACCATCTCCCAAATATCACTATTTCTAAAACAAGCCATAGAAAGTTGGTTGCAATTTCAATTTAATCCTCCAGAAACGACAGAACAAATAATGCAACAAATATTGTTGTTAAACTCAAATATACTAATTGACAAAATAATACAATCTTCCCAGCACAATCTTCCCAGCTCTGCAGATTTTGCTGCGAAGAGACAGAATCATTAGATCATTTGTTTTGGTACAGTCCATTTGTAGCTTGTTTTTGGACACAGGTCCAGGAATGGCTAAAGGATTGCAATATTTACCCGGAGCTAACCTTGCAGATAGCATTACTGGGTGATCTGAAAAGTCCTAGTCAATCGATCAATAACACAATAATACTTTTAGCCAAAAAAAATATTTTCCATTCACAATCTGTAGAAACAATGAGAATAGAAAGGTTCAGAACTTCTGTAAGACATCACAGTACGGTTGAAATATATATGGCAAATAGAAATCCAATATGGATGGTGTTAAGAGATAGATGGGAGGTGTTGAATGGAATTGAAGGATGGGACTAATAACAACTAACAACAAATAATAACAAGATAACTAATAATGTAAGCATACTGTGTCCATAATAAGTATATAGGTTGTATGTTTGGAGCTTTTGGGAAAGAGCACAGTTAGAAAGATATGGCATATAGAAGCAAACCGGATGGACATCATGAAAACGATCGGAGAGGTTGAGAGTAGAAGAAGTTCAGGAGAAAAAACAAACAAAATATAATTATTGTAAAATTGACTGTGTCCATAAAATGTAGATAGTAGGTATAAGCTGGAAGTAGAGGCCTAAGCATTGTTGTTCACTAGTTTACTCCAAGTAGGGAAAGGGTGGTGGGGTTGGAAAGTAATAAAGGGGAGTATATATATATATTTTTTTTTAAGCATATGTATGTGAATGTATGTATGTATGTGTGTATATATGTGTGTGTATATATATATATGTGTATATGTATGTATATATATATGTATATGTATGTGTATGTATGTATATAAAAATTTTTTTTTTAAACTTATTTACATACAGTGATGATGAAATTACCATAATCTACAGTGGGGAGAACAAGTATTTGATACACTGCCAATTTTGCAGGTTTTCCTACTTACAAAGCATGTAGAGGTCTGTAATTTTGATCATAGGTACACTTCAACTGTGAGAGACGGAATCTAAAACAAAAATCCAGAAAGTCACATTGTATGATTTTTAAGTAATTAATTTGCATTTTCTTTCATTGTCATGATCATGTAATCAGTCATGTTCACAGTGAGGTCCTATGAGCAAGCTTTACAGTACAGGCTTCCTGACACTCCCTCTAACACTCTCACTATCCACCACCCTAAAGGAAACAGGATACTACAACATCAGCCCCTCTCCTTTCACCTCAGAGCTTCATCCAGGAGACACTCATATCACTCCTCCACTGAGGCTTCCTCATCATCATCGTCTTCCTCCGCATCTTCATCATCATAATCTTCTCCTTCATCATCATGTTCAGAGTTCTGATTCACTGGCAGCTTCTACCACTCTGGGTGACAGGTATTAAATCACTTACGATGAGAAGCCTAACATAATCGGACTAATGTCATCAAACTGAATAACAATATCCTCTCTCTCTCTCTCTAGAGCCGACAGAGACGAAGGAGGAGGAAGTCGCTGCGAGAGGAGAGAGAGGCGAGGCCGTAGGCGCTGAAGCGAGCGCGAGCGGAAAAAAAGAGAGGGGGAGGGAGCGAGGGCGCGAAGGGGGGGGAGGGGAGAAGAGAGGAGAGGAAGAAAAAGGAAGAGCGGGGAGAGGGAGGGGGAAGACAGGGGGGAAAAAAGGAGCGAGCCCAGGGAAGGGGGGGAAAAGGGGGAAAAAAGAAAAGGGGCCGGGCCCAGGCAGAAGGGAAAAAAAGAGAGCTGGGGGAAAAAAGAGGGGGAAACGAGGGAAAAAAAAACCCCCCCCTCTCTCTCTCTCTCTTCCCTTGTCTTTTTTCTTTTCTTTTTTTTCCCCTTT